TTGGTTGATGTAGGGGTTGGTTTGGGGGATTATTTTTGTGTTTTTCTGTAAAGATATTTCCGCCACACCTTGGTCCTAGGTGATAAGGAATGGATGGCACCACAAGATTGGTATTATCTTGATAAGCCTAGAATAACATCTCTCAACACACAAGAGAGACAACAAAATGCCTAAGCATTTCTTTCATTCAACTTCATTCATCTCTATCATTAAAATTCTGATTGTTCTTAGCCTTTAAATAGGCTAATACATAACTCTCAAGGAGATCAAAAGACTCCATTACAAGGCAATGAATGGTATTCATTCATCCTAGACATGTAACCTAAAATAAATTAAATATAGCACATGAATAATATTAAAACTATACTAAATAAGAATTTATTTGCCTTAATGGATTGAGTTTAGCTTCATTTGAATTGTCCCAATGCAGCCACGAAAATTTGGACCATTTAGATTAATTCCTCACTTATTTTTGGCAAATTGCATGGATTAATCCATTTACAACCCGTCGCAATTTCTTAGCTTTTGAACTTGTAATTGTGACTTCTCTTATTTGTATGTTGATCTTTGAGCCTTTGGTTGTCCTCATCAGTCGTAGTCCCCAAAAGAGGATCATAGTCCACCGATTGAGCGCGTCAGCGGTGTGTAGGGCTGTGATCCGCCGTTGAAACTATCGACGGTCTATACGGTTGGTTGCGATCAACCCCTTCATGCTGCGGTATGAGGTAGGGTGTTGCGGGGCTGTGTTAGATCCATATGCGCTAACCCTCATGTTTGGGGCATGCGATTGGTCCCGTGGCACCACCAAAGTGTGCTTGTGTGACAAGAATGTTGATCGAATGATGATGTGAATGATTTGAAAGTGAACGATGACCTTAGATACATGTCTTTATGATATTATCTCTATATAACTTATTATCCTTGTTTAATGTGCTTATCCCTGCCTGTTGAGTCTATTCCTGGTTTTAAAGCTAGAGTCTCCTAAGTATATATCTTCCTGCTTCGAAATGGTTTTCGTATATCTATATATATATTTACCTATATTGTATTTCAACGCGTTGGAGTGGGTTACCAGCATTATTCGCTGAACAGATATATTTGGCTTTCAGGCACGGATGACTAGCTCCAGAGCGCGGTAGAGGACTCGAGGCTTAGATAGTTAGTTTCCTATTCGGCCTACGTGCCATAATGATGTAATGACGTTGTTTGAGGATAATTAGATAGTTTAGCTTGGCATAGCACCCCAAACACTTATGATTAGTATGCTCTGTTTTGGGATTTAATAAGAGATTACCTTTATTATATAAGTTTTAAAAGTTTCGAAAATCTAGGGTGTTACACACCAGACGCTACAAGAACTCTAATTGCAAACATGGCTGCAAATTCTCAACAATTTGGCAATAGACTTGGCCAACCGTCTAAGCAAGTGAATGACGTAAATATTTCTGCTCTCGAACAACAAATTTCTGGTTTAACTACTCTTGTTCGTCAATTAGCTGTAGGCAATATACAAAATGTAAAAGCATGTGGAATCTGTTCGGTAGTTGGGCACCAAACTGGTGCATGCCCAACTCTTCAAGAAGAACCTATTGAACGAGTCAACATGGCTGGAGGTTTTCCTGGACAACCTCAAGGTATGTATGATCAGTTTTCTAATACATATAATCCTGGATGGGGGGATCACCCAAATCTTAGCTATGGGAACTCACAATGGAACCAAATCGTTCCAATTTTCAGTAGTACAGACAACCATTTCCTTCAAGACAACAACCAACCCAAAGCTCTAGCTCAGGTATGAATCTAGAAGATATTGTTAAATCTTTTGCTACTAACACTTTGCAGTTTCAACAAGAAACACAACTATTCCAATAAGAGACAAGAGCTAGTATTCATGAAGCAAGAACTAGTATTCAAGAAACAAAGGCTAATATTCAGAACTTGGAAAGACAGATGGGTCAACTTGAAACTATGGTAAGTCGGTTGGAAGCACAGAGTTCTGGCAAACTACCTTCTCAAACGGTGGTTAATCCTAAAGAGAATGTAAGTGCAATTACTGTGAGAAGTATGTCGCTGGAAAATAATGTTGATTTAGACAAGGAAACAAGTGCATGTAACATTGCCAATAATAAAGAGAAGTCCCAAGGTAAGCTTTCTTCTCTTTCTGATTATGAACCAGTACCCCCATTTCCTCAAGCTCTTTTAGAACCAATAAGAGGAAAATCAAATAATGATCTGTATGAGACATTTCGTGAATGTGAGGCTAATAAACCATTTTTAGATTCTTTGAAAAAAGTACCTCGCTATGCAAATTTTCTAAAAGAGTTATGCACTTTGAAAAAGAAACAAAATACAGAAAGAGTTGAGGAAGTGAAAGTGCAAGAGAATGTTTCTATGGCTAGTCAAAGCAATCTTCCTGAGAAGTGCAAAGATCCAGGTATGTTTAATATTCCGTGCATGATAAGTGGTGTGAAATTTGGAAATGCTATGCTAGATTTAGGAGTGTTTATTAATGTCATGCCATATTCTGTTTATAATTCTTTAAATCTTGGACCCCTGAATAAAACTAATGCAGTCATTCAATTGGCTGATGGATCTACAACATTTCCTAGGGGTGTGATTGAGGATTTGATTGTTGATGTTAATAACTTGGTTTTTCCAGCTGATTTTTATGTGCTTGATATGAAAAATGATAATAAAATTTCTCATATTTTGTTAGGAAGTCCATTCTTAAAAACTGCAAAAACAAAATTTGATATTCATAGTGGTATGCTTGCAATGGAGTCCAATGGTAAACTTGTGACTTTTAATATTTATTATACCATGAAATCTCCTAGTGATGATACTTTTGCAATTTTTGTTGATTCTTTGAAGCTGGTTAAATTTGATAAAATTGCGTCTAACGAAATCAAAGAAGAAAAAAATAATAAATCATCTTTGAGTACTAATCTGCATGAAGGGACTGTTTCTTTGAATACTCATAATCATCGAAGGTACTCAAAAACCGATGGAAATTTAAAGAAATATCATAAGTCGAGCCAATGACGATAAACAAATGCGCTGCTTGGGAGGCAACCGAAGGCGTGTTTGTTCCATTATTTTTCTTTTATTCCCTTTTCTCATTCAATAACCCTTTTTCTGTGCTTTTTTATTCAACATTGGGGACAATGTTGATAATAAGTGTGGGGGAGGGGATTTAGTTTTATTAATTGTTTGCTTATGTCAATTTTTTTTTTAAAAAAATCAATAAATACTTTGCTAGTATTTCTGCAAAAAGAATATTATTTTGAAAAATTATTATATTTTTCCTTTCTTGGAATTCATAACATGATTGAACAAATAGTTTGGCAAGTTGTGATTAGTTTGTTAGCATTTCCTGTTTGATATGTAGTGGCTATATTAAGTAAGCAATAAACCTGTGAGTGTTTTGAGCCATTGACTGACACTTTGGTCTTATTTTCTTTCTATTGTGTGATTTCTTCAATAATTTTGTTACTCTAGAACTTGCCTTGATTCTCTGTTAAAGTTAATTTGACCGTGCATGATTCAAGTGTGATTAAGGCCATTATTTGATCTTGATCCTCACTAGCCAAATAACCAGTTTGTCCTATGATTTATTTTTCTTTGTTAACCACTTTGAGCTTTATGTCCATTATTTTCTTTCTTTTTGAACCACATTACAAGCCTTTTATATCTAAAAATAATACCTTGACCCAGCTGAATAACTAGTGGAGAATAATTTTGAATTATTCTTGTAATCTACATGAGTTTGTGAAGAATAAGTGTGGGGGAGACCATTTGTTTTGTTAATATGATTGAGAGTGGGGCGGGTTGTATCTTCATTGCCAATTTGTCGTTGGTCTTCTATGAAAAAGAAAACGAAGACAGTTCATGATTCCAAAAAAAAAAAAAAAAAGTATGAAAGATTGGAAGAAATGAAGAATATATGTTTGAAAAAGAAAAATGTTGCTGAAAATTCTGAGAAAAATGAGAAAGAATCAGCAGTTTGTTCTGAGTCTGAAGTTACCTCAAAATAAATGAAGCAAGGAGAATTTCTGGTAATATTGATGAAGTCTTTATTTTTGAGAATGATAGTTGAAATGGCAATGGAAAATGTTTTGAATGAAAAATTGGGGGTGTTGAGTAAGGGTCTTGGATTATCTGTATTTATTTGCTCCTCTAGTTTGAAGGTTTTGTTTGAGCTACTTTTTTAAAACATTCCCTACCTTAGCCCTAGCCCCATTACAACCTGTGAAAAGTCCTTATGACTTGTGTCATGCTCGGCTCTTGTAGTGGTGATTGAGAAGATATGCAAGCCTATGGTAGAGCAATTTTATAGGAATGAACTTGAGTGAAATTTATACCTTCAAAGACTTGAGTGATGAGTGATATTCCTGTGAAGGCTTACTTATTTAGTTCTCTCTATTTTTGAACAGGGGTACTAACTTATTAATTGCATGATGCTTCATATTATTGTTCATGATGTGTTATGAGTTTTGGGAATTTCTTTTTAATTTACTTTGCAAATAATATTTTGCTTGGGGACAAGAAAACATTTTAGTGTGGGGAATTTGATAAGTATTATTTTTATATGTTATTTATGTGTGTTATAATTATTAATTCATATTATTTAACTTAGTTTAGTATTTTTTTTTGAAAGTAATATGCTGCATATATTAATTAATCAAAGCCAAAAGAAAAGCCGGAGGAACATCCTCCCACATCGAAGAGTTCGCCTGCACAGAGGCTGCCTGAGCTAACGAATGAGCTAAAACATTTGAAGTACGGGGAATGTAAATAACTGAACAAGAAACTAATAAAGCTATCAAGTCTCGACATGCTGAAACAGCTACACCATCATAAGTGCGAAAATCAGTCGCTGAATTAATAAGAGCGTGACATAGGTTCGAACAGTCTATCCGGAGCACAACTTCCGTAACCCCACGATCTCTAAGCCAGGATAGGGCCTCCTTACAAGCATAAGCTTCCGCCATAAAGGGTCCCTAGCACAACGGTAGAGGGCTGTTCTTGGTCGCAATGAAAGCATCATCCGCGTCTTGCAACACAAGGCCAAAGGCCCATCTCCTTGTTGCGGCCGAGAATGCTGCGTCGAAGGAGCATTGCAGCGCCAAGGGCGACTGCCCAGCCGCGACACTGGATGCAGTGTGCTGCCGCTGCCGATCTGGGCTAACCATAGCCGTACGCCAAGCATCAAGGGATGCCAATGCCTTCGCATGCACCTGCGCTGGCCTTCCCACCTTGAACTCCCACACCGCCGAGTTCAGTTGTAGCCAAATATGGTACATGATGGCCACCATAGAAGTGAAATGATTTTCATCAACATTTTGCAATAATAATTCGAGCCATGCACCAAAATCATCACCCACCGTACTCTGCACCATTAAACCCAAAATATTCCACACACATTTAGAATAATCACATTGTACCAAAGAGTGTAAAACATTTTCAGAACATAGAGCACACAAAGGGCATGCTAATGGGACTTCTACCCTCCTATTGTATAAATTCATAGTGGTGGGAAGCACTCCTCTCACCGCTCTCCACAAGAAAACTTTCCACTTAGGGGGAGCCTTTAGGTTCCAAATTTTTATTCCAAGATGAGAAGCCACTGGGGGTACAATAACGGTCCCCATTAATTCACAGTAAGCGCCCTTCACTGTATAATTTCCTTTTGGGTACCCATGCCAATACCACAAATCATCAAAGGCAGGACTAATTGGTATAGTAGTAATACGCTCTACATCTTCGAATGAAAATAACTCATTAAGTAAAGGAATGTCCCAGGTAGAGGATGCGGGGTCTATTAATCCAGACTGCACTTTAACCTCCCCCAAATGAGGGGGTTTATCCGACACGATTCTTGGGGCAGAATCCCCTAATAGCTATGGATCACCCCATACCAACGTAGTGTTACCATTGGTTCTACGCCTGATATTACGAGTAATTAGGTCCTGTGCAGCCATAATACTCCTCCAACAAAAGTGATGAGGACAACCAAAGGCTCAAAGATCAACATACAAATAAGAGAAGTCACAATTACAAGTTCAAAAGCTAAGAAATTGCGACGGGTTGTAAATGGATTAATCCATGCAATTTGCCAAAAATAAGTGAGGAATTAATCTAAATGGTCCAAATTTTCGTGGCTGCATTGGGAGAATTCAAATGAAGCTAAACTCAATCCATTAAGGCAAATAAATTCTCATTTAGTATAGTTTTAATATTATTCATGTGCTATATTTATTTTATTTTAGGTTACATGTCTAGGATGAATGAATATCATTCATTGCCTTGTAATGGAGTCTTTTGATCTCCATAAGAGTTATGTATTAGCCTATTTAAAGGCTACACAATCAGAATTTTAAAGATAGAGATGAATGAAGTTGAATGAAAGAAATGCTTAGGCATTTTGTTGTCTCTCTTGTGTGTTGAGAGATGTTATTCTAGGCTTATCAAGATAATACCAATCTTGTGGTGCCATCCATTCCTTATCACCTAGGACCAAGGTGTGGCGGAAATATCTTTATAGAAAAACACAAAAATAATCCCCCAAACCAACCCCTACATCAACCAATTCCATCTCCAACACCCTCAAACCGTAATTGTTGTTCCTGCTGTTTTGGTGAGGAAAAGATCGGGCAACCGAAGGAATCTTTGGTGAATCGAATCTTGAGTTCATCCCCCAAAGATCCGTATCAGTTTGGTATCAGAGCTTTGGGTTCATTCCTCACACAAAAGAGGTTAACAATCTACCAATCAATTCTTGTTTCATTTGTTTCTGCAGTAAATTTTCAGCCTGCGTCTTCTGAAAGAAAAATTCCAAAAAAATATTTCCACATATCCAATTGTGTTGAAATTTTTTTTGGAAGTACCCAACCTAACACTCTATTGTTTCATGAAAGTTTTGTGTTAAAATCATATTCCTATAAACACAGAAAATTCGTTGAATTCCGGCCACTGTTAGAACAGTTTCTGTCAACATTTCAGCCTGCACTGTTGAGAGAACAAATTCCAAAAAAAAATACTTCCACATATCCAATTGCTTTGAAATTTTTTTTGGAAGTACAAAACTTACCACTCTTTAGTTTCATGAAAAGTTTGGGTCAAAATATCATCCACAATATTCCAGAAAATTCTTCAAAGTCACTCTTAAAATCTGTCCAGATTTGTGTTGCCATTCCTTGTGTTTTCTAGTTTATTGTTCATTGTTTCATATTATCCATGGAGTCTTTTGAGTTAAATACACTTCAACAAGGATCTCTTAGTGTGGAAGAATTCTACAATAAGTTAAGAGATTTGATGATCCGTGATGGCGTGATTGAACCAGCTATGATTACTAAGAACAGATTTGTGTATGGTGTTAGAAAAGAAATTGCACGATTGCTTCCTCATCGGTGCAAGTGCTTGTTTACTTTACTATACAATGCCAAACAAATTGAAGAGAAATTGCAGCAAAAAGAGGTTGAGAATTTGATACCTTTTTCCTTGTCATATGATGAGGGCTCAAAAGAAATGAATGAGGATGTAAACATGTGTGAACACAAATGTGAAAACAAAGATGAGGAATATTTGAGTGAAAAAGAAGGAAAGATTGAGAAAAAAAGTGAAGATGAGGAAGAAGAATTGTCTTATGAACTTTGTGAGAAAGAGAATGAGGGAGAAGACCTTGAGAACCAAATAATCTTTGTTTCAAGTTTATTGCATGTTCATGAATGTAATTCAAGGATTGAGAATAGGTTTGGAAGCATGACAAAGGGACATCAAAAGTTAAATGCATTTGCGGTAATGTTGTGCCAAGTTCAAGGAAACATGGGATCACTCACTTTCATTGATGCAGACATACAATTCACACGTTGGGAAATTTACTCATTTCCATTTGACCGAGGCAAGTTTGATTCGAGGACGAATCTTCTCAAAGAGTGAGGGAATGATGAGGACAACCAAAGGCTCAAAGATCAACATACAAATAAGAGAAGTCACAATTACAAGTTCAAAAGCTAAGAAATTGCGACGGGTTGTAAATGGATTAATCCATGCAATTTGCCAAAAATAAGTGAGGAATTAATCTAAATGGTCCAAATTTTCGTGGCTGCATTGGGAGAATTCAAATGAAGCTAAACTCAATCCATTAAGGCAAATAAATTCTCATTTAGTATAGTTTTAATATTATTCATGTGCTATATTTATTTTATTTTAGGTTACATGTCTAGGATGAATGAATATCATTCATTGCCTTGTAATGGAGTCTTTTGATCTCCATAAGAGTTATGTATTAGTCTATTTAAAGGCTACACAATCAGAATTTTAAAGATAGAGATGAATGAAGTTGAATGAAAGAAATGCTTAGGCATTTTGTTGTCTCTCTTGTGTGTTGAGATGTTATTCTAGGCTTATCAAGATAATACCAATCTTGTGGTGCCATCCATTCCTTATCACCTAGGACCAAGGTGTGGCGGAAATATCTTTATAGAAAAACACAAAAATAATCCCCCAAACCAACCCCTACATCAACCAATTCCATCTCCAACACCCTCAAACCGTAATTGTTGTTCCTGCTGTTTTGGTGAGGAAAAGATCGGGCAACCGAAGCAATCTTTGGTGAATCGAATCTTGAGTTCATCCCCCAAAGATCCGTATCAAAAAGCATGGATTATTTCCAACAGGGGCATTCAGAAAATCAGAATTTGGGTAATACCTGGCTTTATACACCTTCGCTACCAGTGATTGGGGATTATTCAGAAACCTCCAACCCTGCTTGCCCAGCATAGCTAAATTAAAAGCTCTCAAATCCTTGAAGCCTAATCCACCATACTTCTTTGGTATACTCAATTTATCCCAAGCAAGCCAGTGAATTCCACCCCCATCCCTCCCATTACGCCACCAGAATTTATTCATAACACACTCCAGATTTTTACACAGAGAATCAGGCTACAGAAATACGCTCATAGTAAAAGTCGGCATTGCCTGAGCCACAGATTTCAACAAAACTTCTTTCCCTGCCCGTGGCAGAAGTTTCTTATTCCATGAGCCAATTCTCTGTCTCTCCTTATCCTCCACATATGCAAACACCGCACGCTTATTCCTTCCCACAAAAGCCGGCAAGCCTAAATACTTTCCAAAATTTGCCGCTTGCTGAACCCCAAATACTGCAGCCACCATATCCCTATCCACTTGCTGAGTGTTTCTACTAAAACAAATATTCAATTTGTGATATTTAATGGTCTGGCCAGAGAGCTCCTCATAGAATGTAAGACACCGTTTGGTCGCCTGTGCCTCATCCACATTTGCCTTGAAAAACAACAGACTGTCATCCGCAAAAAAGAAATGTGAGAGAGCAGGGGCCCCTCTCGCCACTCTTAATCCATGTACTACACCTCTATCCAGAGCCTGCTGTAATAACAATGATAACCCTTCTGCACAGATAATAAACAAATATGGGGATAAAGGATCCCCTGACGGAGCCCACGGGACGGGATTATCTGACCTCCAGACACACCATTAATCATGACATTATATGATACTGTAGTAACACATTCCATAATCAGATTCACCCACCTAACCTGAAAACCCAACGCCAACATCATCTTTCTCAAGAACGACCACTCCATTCTATTATACGCCTTCGCCATATCTAACTTCAGTGCTCCCCATCCCACCTTTCCCAACTGTTTCCTGTTTAGGAAATGGCCTACCTCAGCAGCAATCAAAATGTTATCCGTTATCAACCTGCCAGGGATAAAAGCACTTTGCGAAACAGAAATAACATCACCCAACAGGGGCTTCATACGGTTAGCAATAACTTTCGCAGCTACCTTATACACAACGTTACTCAGGGTGATCAGACGCAGATCCGTTACCATCTCCGGGGACTGCGTTTTTGGAATAAGCACAATATTTGACTCATTAAGGCCAGGTGGGAAAGCCCCCATATTTAAACATTCCAGCATAAAACCAGTGACATCTGTCCCAACAATATCCCAAAATTTCTGATAAAAGCCCGGATTCATTCCATCCGGACCCGGGGCCTTGTCTGGAAACATAGCAAACAAAGCATCCCTAACCTCCCCCGGATCATAAGGTCGATTCAACCAATCATTATGAGACTGGGTTACACGAGTGGAGATAGAGGCAAAAAAGCCCGACCCATCATTCACAACCGGATTAACAGTAAAAATGTCTTTAAAATAATTCATTACAACCGGTTTCATTGCATCACCATCTACCCAACCTCCCAAGTCATCTCTAAGGCGTAAAATAGTATTCTTACGTTTACGGGCAGAAGCATACCTGTGATAGAAACGAGTGTTTGCATCCGCCCCACGAAGCCAGTACTGCTTAGCTCTTTGCCTCCAGAATACATCATCCTGCTTCTCAAGCCTTACCAATTCAGTTTCTGATGCGGTCCAACATAATGAAGATCCATCAAGAGTACCAATTGGGCCAATCACAAGGCCCAAGTCCAAACGATTAAGACAACTCTTCATTGGTGATATTCAAAGATGGTGGAAATCCAAGTCAAGCCCATTTGCAAAAGATGAAGAAGAATTCAAGGCTTTTTATAATTGTTTAAGTGCTGATTTTGGTGATTAAATTTGGCCCAAATCAGCCCTATTATTTTGGGTCATCATTAATTTAAATTGTTTGGCATAAAAGAGAAAACACTAGTTGTATTTAAAAAGGATTCCTTAAATCCTTTTCTAAATAAAACTCTATTTACTTGTTTTCTAGATTAGGTTTAGGACTGTTATTCCCATTGTATTTAGTATTACAATGCTGCCCTATACCTATAAATAGGGCACATCCATATCAGTTTTAGGGAGGCTTTAATTCAATAAAATTCTTAAGTTTTTCTTTACACTTGTGTAAGAAACCTTATGGCTAATTGTGGACTCAATTAGTGGCTAGTCGTGGACTCGACTAGCAAATTGATTCGTGGACTCGAATCAATCTTACTTTCTTCAACCTTAGATTTAGGTTCGTGGACTCGTTCTTGAATCGAAGGAAACTAGATCCGACTCTAGTTGATTGAAGATTGCAATATCGTGGTACTTGAATCTACATGGGATTCTTCTAAGTCTTTGAGGATTCGAGACAAAGGGTTTCTCGTGAGGTCTAAGGTATTTTGATCCATCTCTATCTTTACTTTTGAGAGCATTCTTGGGACAATACTCCATCTTATTTGAACCTTGGACTAGGTTCATATAAGTTTCCAGACGGCGAAAGTCCTCCAACGCCTGAGGGCTCATACGGCCCCGACAATTCATCTTTTGTTTCTTGAGACTAGCGATTCGCTCTCCAAACTTAAGGAAACGATCACCACCCCAACTCTGAAGCCTCATACCACACCTCTCCAACCGGGTCTGCAAATCTTCAATCCCATGTCCCCACGCCTCCTCCACCACCTCCCTACAGCCCTCATCCAGTAACCAGGCCATCTCAAAACGAAACTGTTGAGGCCCTACACGGTTCCCCACGCCTGGCCGAATGTCCAGGAATAGAGCCGAATGGTCCGATCTCCTAGTAAGAATATTATAGACCCTTGCACCCTCCACTACCACCCGCCACTCATCACACGCCACAACCATATCCAACTTCTCCTCCACCCAAGTCTCCGTGCCTTCCCCCTTTTCCCAAGTAAATTGGTACCCAATCATAGGGATCTGCACCAAACCACAATCATCCAACGCTTCACCAAAACCTCTCAATAACGATTCAGGATGCTGAAACCATCCCCTCTTCTCATACTGAAAGAGCAGGTCATTGAAATCCCCCAAGACTACCCAAGGCAGGGTTGAACGAGAGCTTAAGTGTCGTAACAGATTCCATGACTCCTCCCTACTACTACGATCCGGGAAACCATAAAATCACGTCATCCTCCAGGGCGCAAAACCATCAATCCGCACAACTACATCAACATGGTTTCTGGAATAACTTAGCAAACTAACCGTATCATTTGTTTTCCACAACAAGGCCAAGCCACCACTCAACCCCCTATTATCCACATAGAACAGACCCTGAAACCCCAGTTTCACACGTAACCACTCAGCATGATCCCTACCAACCTTCGTCTCCATAAGAAAAATAAAATCAGGTTTCTTTCTGGATGCCTGCCATATCCAGCAGTTCCCGAACTTGATACGGATCTTTGGGGGATGAACTCAAGATTCGATTCACCAAAGATTCCTTCGGTTGCCCGATCTTTTCCTCACCAAAACAGCAGGAACAACAATTACGGTTTGAGGGTGTTGGAGATGGAATTGGTTGATGTAGGGGTTGGTTTGGGGGATTATTTTTGTGTTTTTCTATAAAGATATTTCCGCCACACCTTGGTCCTAGGTGATAAGGAATGGATGGCACCACAAGATTGGTATTATCTTGATAAGCCTAGAATAACATCTCTCAACACACAAGAGAGACAACAAAATGCCTAAGCATTTCTTTCATTCAACTTCATTCATCTCTATCTTTAAAATTCTGATTGTGTAGCCTTTAAATAGGCTAATACATAACTCTTATGGAGATCAAAAGACTCCATTACAAGGCAATGAATGATATTCATTCATCCTAGACATGTAACCTAAAATAAAATAAATATAGCACATGAATAATATTAAAACTATACTAAATGAGAATTTATTTGCCTTAATGGATTGAGTTTAGCTTCATTTGAATTCTCCCAATGCAGCCACGAAAATTTGGACCATTTAGATTAATTCCTCACTTATTTTTGGCAAATTGCATGGATTAATCCATTTACAACCCGTCGCAATTTCTTAGCTTTTGAACTTGTAATTGTGACTTCTCTTATTTGTATGTTGATCTTTGAGCCTTTGGTTGTCCTCATCAGAACTGTTCGTCGATCACCGAAGCCACGACAGTTCCAGCTCAAAAAACTCATAATGACGGGCGGGTATGAGAACCAGAACCCGCCATGAACAAGTTTTTTGAAATATCTGTCATTGCCACATCCACACCAACCCTCTCCCCAACTCCCTCACCATCCCGCCCCTCCTCTCTCCACCTCTTCGGTCCACACGTCACCACCCCCTCCTCCATCACTGGCTGCCTTACCGAATCACCCCTAAACCCGCCATTTATCCCCGAGCCAACCGGCATCCCCTCACCCTCAACCGCCTCCTCCCTCTTCCCCCCCCCCCCCCCACCGGAATTAGCCAAGAATGGCCTACCGGTCTCGGTCCACGCTGCAACCCCGCCTTCATCTCAACCCCATACGGGTACTAGTCCACCGTGAGTGTTGAATTATGTGCTTGCAAACAAAATTTGTATGAATGGCCTAACAAAAGCCACAAAAGAAGCAAAAAGTGTGTAATCTTTCATACTTAAAACTCCCCCAACACCACGTATTATCCCGTTTTACCAACTTCATCCTCCTCCGCAAGGGCTTAGCCACCGGAATACTGACACGGATTCGGTAAAACGCCTTCCACGGCCGGTCATCAAACCTCTCATCCCCCTTCACAAACCCACCAAGGAAATTACCAACCTGCTCCTGTATGACCATGGATGTATACCTGTATACCCCATTGGGAGTCCATAAACCTGAACCCACATATCAACACTATCAAGCACCATATCCACCGGAAGTATCCCATCATCCACCAGTGTACACACCAAAGTGTGATTATCGAACGACCACGGCCCCTCATCCAACACACGCTGCAAGTCCGTGTGATCATAGAATACAAACATAAACAAATTAGGTTGTAATTCTGAGACTTGCACACCACACACGGGCTGCCACACGGAAGCCAGAACCTCCCGCATGAACTCCAGTTTCACCATGCGTCTCGTCAAAAATCTGCCGACCAGCACCCACGTTCGCCGGTTCTCTCCCGTCTCCACCGGGACGAACTCTTCAGCTGATACCAGTACGTCGTCTTCGTCATGCAGGGCAATCCCTGCATACCCCTCCACCAACTCCTCCTCAACAGCCGCGCTCGTCTGTCGCTCCATCACTGCAAACGCTCGCCGATCAGCACAGAGGCAGTCGCACCGATCGCCAGCCAAATACGAAGCCAATTCAGAACCGTAGGAAGAAACCCTAGAAAAACTTAGAGAGAACTCTAGAAAACCCTAGAGAGAAAATTTCAATTAAAATAAAGTAAACTTAGTTTAGTATTTATTTACTTAATAAAATAATTTATCATTTATTTTGCACTCATCTACGTAATAAGCTAATAACGATTAATTTATATTTATTTCATAATTAGTGAAGTGGACCAATTTATATGTTAAATTTAGACTCACTAATTAAACATTACTCTAATGTTAATGTGGAGCCCAAATTCTTTTTTAATTAAAAATTCCAAACCATGAAAATAACCAAATAAAATATTTATGTTGTTCTTTCTTATGTAGGCGCAGTAGCGAGAAGTGGAATTTGTCAAACAACACAACCGATTCGGACGCAAGACTAAGCAGCATTCGCGGAAGACTTCATCATACGGCTAAAAAAATAGGAAAACGGATGGGGGAGATTGATTGAGGTTATTTTGAGAATACTATAAATAGATGATAGCAGTAGTATTGAAAAACGTTCATTCTTTGTTCATTCTTCCCCCTTTAGATTATTCTTTAAAGTTGTTACCAATGTTCATTCGTGGCTAATTTCTTCTAGCTTGGTTTAGTAAATTGAAGCCCCGGAGTTCATTATGCTCTGAGATTATTTATTTAGTTTTATTATATAGTTTGTATGTATTTGAGTATTAAATACATTTAATTGCTAGGGAGGCCTACTAGTTATTTATTTGATATAATTATTTGCTATATTAGATAATGTTGTGCTACAAATTATTTTAATATTCAGTAGCAATTGAGGTTAATTATTGACGGCTTTAGTGATAATTGGTCTCATGTGCAACCGCTTGTGCTTGTGTTATTTAGTTTGTCGGTTTTCCTAGTTCCTATTCCTGCTATTAAATTAAATCTATAGCGCTTGTCTTAGATTATTTAGTAGTTAGGGGTAAATAAACCGCTTGTGCTTTAGTTATCTACAACTAAGGGAAAACGGAAATGAAATAATTTCACGACAAATATTCAATTACATATTAATTACCTTTTGAATCAATGATCAGTGCTAAATTTCGGTGGTGGATCTTTACTAACCAAGGTTTTCTATTCTTTTTAATATCTTATTCTTCATCCTTTCCTCGTTTATTTAAATTTCTCGTTTATTTAATTTCTCTTTTATTTAATCTTTATTCTCATTATATTCCAAACCCTCCTTCCTTTAATTTGAGCATACATTAAACTCTTTAATTTGAGCATACATTAAACTAGTTACTCCTCGTGGATCGATCCTTACTCTCGTTACTACGTTTGTAAGGTTTTAATTTGGGAGCCTACGACAGCTCGCAAATTTTCCTCTTAGCCTTTTAAGGATTCAAAGGCTCCTCTTTAGGCTTGAGTGGATTCTTTCAACTCAAAGAATAGGAGAAGAAGAATTTTTTTTTTTTTAAATACTGAAGCCGAATGAAGAGAACGGAAGAAAGAAGATTATTCTTATGATGATTTTCGGCCAAGGAACAAGGAAGAAGCAGAAGATAACTTGACTACAAACTCTTATTTAATGATATAAAGATGGATGGAAAAATAATTATGGTTAATAGAGGATATATAAAGGTGGATGGAAAAATAATTATGATTAATAGAGGATTATAGTAATCATATAAATTGAAATTGGAAGATTTTATGGAATTATCTTTTATCAAAATTGACCACATGTTAAAATGTACTTAGTCTACAAGCATACTAATATATAATAAATAAATAAATAAATATATATATATATATATATATATATATATATATATATATATATATATATATATATATATATATATATATATATATATATATATATTCTACACGTTACATGCATACAATAACATATATATGTATATAATACATATAATACATAAGTAATGTACATATATAATTATATAACCCAAAATAATATAACACCCTTGTTCTAAAATAATTAGTTTGTAGTTCAAAAATAATACATGTACAAAATTACAACTGTAAGTTCATTATTATATTTTCATTTATAACAACAATAATAGTCGAAATAAGGATGATGAGATTTTGAAATGGCTCGATCAGAAAAGAAGTGATAATTGAGAAAAGGAGGAATATCGAATTTTAGAGAGGCTAGAAAATTCGGGTGTCACAAAAGATGCTAAGTTCGAAATGACAAGAGACTGTCTAGATGCTTTTATAAATTTGAAAGAGCGGTTGATAAGCACACCATACTAATAGGAACAGATTGGAGCCAACCCTTCGAATTGATGTGTGACGCAAGTAATTTCGTTGTTGGTGCAGTTCTGGGTCAAAGAGTAGGGAAAGCCTTTCAACCGATTGCTTTTGCAAGCCGTACTTTGAATAAAGCTCAACGGGCGTACACAACAACCGAGAAAGAGCTTATGGCAATTGTATTTGCCCTGGAAAAATTTCGATCTTATTTGCTATTGTCGAAAATTACAATTCATACGGACCACGCTGCTATTCGTTATCTAATGACGAAGCAAGAAACAAAACCTAGACTGATCAGATGGGTTTTATTACTCCAAGAATTCGATATTACTATCGTAGATAGAAAAGGAGTAGAGAATCGAGCCGCTGATCACTTGTCAAGGTTAGAGGATAATGAAGCCGTCGAGTCTGAAAAGAAATAGATGAATGTTTTCTTAAAGAAAAGTTATTGGGAGGGTCGACCGTACCATGGTACGCGGACATAGCCAATTTTCTGGCTAGAGGGACGCTGCCATGTTATCTTACAGAACGTGAGAAACGTAAAATTATGGCGGGCAAGCCAAATATTATTTCTGGGGTGAATCGTATCTGTTCCGAGTATGTGGGGATCAAATAATACAAAGATTTGTTCCGGAAGAAGAAGGACACATAATTTTAAGAGATTGCCACAAAGGAGGGTACGGAGGACATCATTCGGCAAATCGCACAGCGAGGAATGTTTTGGAAGCTGGATTTTATTGGCCACGAATTTTTAGAGATGCCCAAATCTGTGTACAGAACTGTGAAGAATGTCAGAGAATAGCAAACGTTACGAGAAGAGCTGAAATGCCTCAAACGTACATTCTTTCTTGTGAAATCTTTGATATCTAGGGATTGAATTTTTTTGGGCCATTCCCAGAATCAAGAGGGTTTAAGTACATCTTGGTAGCTATTGATTATGTTTCCAAATGGGTAGAAGCCGAAGCACTTAGGACAAATGATGCCCAGAGCGTGGTAATATTTATTAAGAGGTTGTTCTCCAGATTCGGCATCCCCAGAGTAATCATCAGCGATCGAGGGACCCACTTCCGCAACATTCCGATATCTAGAATCCTTGGAAGACACGGAGTGCAGCACCGGAGCGTAGTGCCATATCATCCGCAATCAAGCGGCTAGGTTGAGAACGCGATCAGAGACATCAAGGCCATACTCGAGAAAACAGTATCAAAAAATAGACGGGATTGGGCCGATAAGTTGAATGATGCATTATGGGCATTTAGGACAGCGTACAAAACTCCCATTGGAACCACCCCTTACAGGCTTGTATATGGGAAATCATGTCATTTGCCGATAGAAGTTGAACACAAGGCATACTGGGCCTTGAAGAGACTAAATGAGGATTTGCATATAGTAGGAAACCAAAGCCTATGGCAGCTAAACGAGCTAGATGAATGGCTTATTCTAGCCTATGAAACTAATAAATCCTACAAAGAAAAGGGTAAACAGTATCATGATCTACATATCAACCGAAGAAAGGAATTTCAGGTACGAGATCAAGTGCTGCTGTTTAACTCGAGGCTAAAACTTTTTCCTGGAAAATTAGAGTCACAATGGTCTGGGCCCTTCAGGGTGGAAAAAGTATACCCTTATGGAAGTCTAGATATTTTCCATCCAGAAAAAGGGATATTCAAGTTCAATGGATAGCAAGTGAAGAAATACCATGGGTTGGATCAACCTGGACAGGTAGTGTCTGCCATGGCACTTGAAGATTTCTAAAAGAGCTTCAGAATCTCATCGGGTTAAAGACGGTAAAACGTAGAGCTGCTTGGGAGGCAACCCAAGGTTCGTTTTCCATTTTTGTTATGCAATTTCTGTCTTGTTTCTTTTATAGCCTGATATGAACCTAGTCCAAGGTTCAAATAAAGATGGAATATTGTCCCAAGAATGCTCTCAAAACTAGAGATAGAGATGGATCGAAATACCTTAAACCTCACGAGAAACCCTTTGTCTCGAATCCTCAAAGACTTGGAAGAATCCCATTGTAGCTTCAAGTACCTCGATGATGCAATCTTCAATCAATTCGAGTCAGATCTAGTTTCCTTCGATTTAAGAACGAGTCCACGAACCTAAATCTAAGGTTGAAGAAAGGAAGATTGATTCGAGTCCACGAATCAATTTGCTATTCGAGTCCTCGACTAGCCACTAATTGAGTCCACAATTAGCCATAAGGTTTCTTACACAAGTGTGAAGAAAAACTTAAGAATTTTATTGAATTAAAGCCTGTTTCAAACTGATATGGATGTGCCCTATTTATAGGTATAGGGCAGCATTGTAATCTAAATACAATGGGAAAAAGAGTCCTAAACCTAATCTAGAAAACAAGTAAATAGAGTTTTATTTAGAAAAGGATTTAAGGAATCCTTTCTAAATACAACTAGTGTTTTCTCTTTTATGCCAAACAATTTAAATTAATGATGACCAAAAATAATAGGGCTGATTTGGGCCTAATTTAATCACCAAAATCAGCACTTAAACAATTATAAAAAGCCTTGAAATCTTCTTCATCTTTTGCAAATGGGCTTGACTTGGATTTCCAGCATCTTTGAATATCACCAATGAAGAGTTGTCTTAATCGTTTGGACATGGGCCTTGTGATTGGCCCAATTGGTACTCTTGATGGATCTTCATTATGTTGGGCCGCATCATATCCTCTCGTGTCT